TTGCGATCACCTGGCCTATAGGTGATAATATAATTGAAACGGGACAAAAATAGTGACCACCTAGCCTGCCTGGAAGACAATCTTTTGGCTTCGCTAAGGTAGGATAGGTTCTTGTGATCCGTAAAAATGAGGATAGGATCCTTAGTTCCTTCTAACAAATGTCTCCACTCTTTAAGTGCTAAAATAATAGCAAGGAGTTCGCGATTACCCACATCATACTTTTTCTCTGCTTTGGACATTTGTTTAGAAAAGAAGCCGCATGGATGCAATGGCTTTTCAGGCGACTCTCTTTGGGATAAGACAGCACCTACCCCAATATCAGAAGCATCAACTTCAAGAATATAGGGCAGTGAGGGGACAGGATGCTGTAAAATAGGTGCAGAGGCGAACGTAGTTTTAAGAAATTCAAAAGCCTGAAGTGCCTCGGTAGACCAAACACGAGTATTGCCATCCTTTTTAGTCATACGGGTAATAGGTGCTACAATGGACGAGAAACCTTTGATAAAACGTCTATAATAATTGGAGAACCCAAGAAAACGCTGAATAGCTTTCAGACCTTGCGGTAGAGGCCATTCTATTACAGCAGCTAAGCTTCTGGGGATCCATACGAAAACCTTTAGCGGAAATCAAATACCCCAAGAACTGGACTTCGGTTTGGTCAAACAGACATTTTTCTAGCTTGCAATAAAGACCATTAGCAAGAAGGGTCTTCAAAACTGTCGTAACATGTCTGTGATGAGTGTGTATGTCTGTAGAATATATTAAAATGTCATCCAAGTATACGATAACAAATGTGTGAATAAAATCTCTTAAGACATCATTAATAAATTCTTGGAATACTGCTGGGGCATTGCAAAGCCCAAATGGCATAACAGTATATTCGTAATGACCGGATCTAGTGTTGAATGCAGTCTTCCATTCGTGATTTTCCTTTATACGTATCAAATTGTATGCACTCCTAAGGTCTAATTTAGTGAACACAGTGGCATGTTTCAGCCTGTCAAATAATTCTGTAATTAAAGGTATAGGGTATGCATTTTTGATAGTGATTTTGTTTAGACCTCTATAATCTATACACGGTCTTAAATCACCTTCTTTCTTCGATACAAAGAAGAACCCTGCTCCAGCTGGAGAAGAGGATCTCCTAATAAACCCCTTTTCTAGTGATTCCTTAATATACTCCTCCATGACACAGTTTTCTTGAACCGATAAGGGGTACACCCTGCCCTTTGGAGGTATAGTGCCAGGCAACAAGTCAATAGCACAATCATAGGGTCTGTGAGGCGGTAATTTCTCAGCCTCCCTTTTATCGAAAACAGTCTTTAGAGATAAATACTGAGGGGGTATAACCGTAGACAAAGGAGGACTGGTAGGTACCTCAATAGAATTCAAAGGTGTGACTTCCAACGTACAAGACTCGTGGCAGGCCTCACTCCATGATTTTATTTGCCCTGTCTCCCAGTCAAAAATGGGATTGTGAGCACGTAACCATGGATACCCTAATACTAACTGTGAAGAGGGAGAGGTGATGACCTGGAATCGAATGGTTTCATAGTGTAAAACCCCTGTGTACATGTGTAATGGTACAGTCTCATGAGTAACAACTGGAGAACTTAATGGTCTACCATCTATGGCCTCAACGGCCAAGGGTATCTCCTTCTCTCTGATGGGAATGTTGTTTCTCTTTATAAAGCCAGAGTCTATAAAATTTTCAGCTGCCCCAGAGTCAACCAGAGCATATATGTTGTCAACTATACAAATCTCTCCCATATATAAAGAAACCGGGAGAAGCAAGCGGTTAGGAGGCAATTTAGGAGACTTAGATATCACACCCAAGGCCAGTCCCCTATAAGGTCTTAGGTGCGAGAGTTTTCCGGGAGTAAAGGACATTCCTTTACCATATGGTCTCTCCTACCACAGTATAGGCAGAGTCCCTCCCTTCTCCTATGTAATTTCTCAGTATCAGAGAGTTTGGCAACCCCTAATTGCATAGGTTCCTCCTCAGACACTTTAACACTCTCTGGTATATTAACTCTGGGGTTAATGGGTGTAACAAAACGTCTATTCCTGTTCTTGGTATAGAGCCTGTCACGAATTCTATTGTCTATATCAATGAGGTAATCAATAAGGTCCTCTAAGGCAATAGGAAGCTCCTTAGCTGCTACCTCATCCAATATCGTATCTGACAAACCTTCCATGAAGGCAGTAGTTAACCCATTGTTGGTCCAATCTACCTGCGAAGCAAGAGTGCGAAACTGAATAGCATAATCAGCCACAGACCTAGAACCCTGTTTAATTCTCATTAATGCTCTCGCGGCATTCTTTGACCTTTTCATTGTGTCAAAAGTTCTACGAAAAGCCGTAAGAAAACTGTTGAAATCATGTACCATAGGTCCATTAGCTTCCCAAATAGGATTTGCCCACTCAAGTGCCTTATCGGTAAGTTGGTGCATAAAGAACCCAACCTTAGACCTCTCTGTGGGAAATGAACGTGGATACATTTCGAAGTGGAATTCAATTTGATTAATAAACCCTCTGCAAGTCTTAGAGTCCCCTCCATACCTAGGAGGAGGTGTTAAATGGGCCGAAGTATTAGGCAAAGTAGATACTTCAGGGAGAAGGGGCGTAGGAGGGTTAGGTGTGGTTGCTGGAACGGTTCTAGCTAGGAGCGTCTGGAGAGCCTGGGCTATCTGATCCATACGGTGATCCTGCTCTACAAATCTTGCCTCATGGGACGCCATCTGTTGAGCTAAATCTGCGGGGTCCATGGCCCTATCGTAATGTAACGAGAATATACCCCTACACGCAGGATCCAGCTAAACAGAGGCAAATACAGAGGAGAGATACGTCTACCGGACCTTAGAATGGCCGGACTCGACGTATATGAGAGGAGACAGAGCCAGGAACAAACCGAGGTCAAGGGCACAGAGAGACAGCGTAAACTAGGACAAGCCGGGGTCTGGTACACGGAAAACAGCAAGCCGGCAAACAGTACAGATAAGGATAAAGCGAAAACGAAGTCAGAATACGAAGCCAAAGTCAATACGAGAAAACACAACTGAACACCACAAGCGCTAAAGGGAACTGAAACAGAAACCACGATAGGGCAACGAGCTAAGGGAAAAAGGTAAGTTTAAATAGCTTTTAAACGAAAGTGATTGGCTCCTGTCACTTCCACACCCCCAAAAGGTAATTGTATAGGGAGTGTGGTATGACAGGAGCCAATGGGAGCCTTTTGGCAATTAGGCTCCCACTGTCTCTTTAAGAGCGCGCCCGAGACTCGCGGCGCGCTCTTAGTTTCAGGCGGGACACGTGACCGCTTCACGCGGTCACTGCCCGCCTTCCATCTAAAGCAGTCGGATGAGCCGCGCGCGGCTTGAAGAGAGGACCGCGACCGGCCCCCGGTTAAGGTAAGTAACGCTACAGAGAGTGACAGAGAGAGATGGTTAGAGCGACAGAGAGAGACGGTGAGAGTGACAGAGAGAGATGGTTAGAGTGACAGAGAGAGATTGTGGGAGCGATAGAGAGAGATGCTGAGAGTGACAGAGAGAGACGGTGAGAGTGACAGAGAGAGATGATTAGAGCGACAGAGACAGATGCTGAGAGTGACAGAGAGAGATGGTTAGAGCGACAGAGAGAGACGGTGAGAGTGACAGAGTGAGATGGTTAGAGTGACAGAGAGAGATTGTGGGAGCGATAGAGAGAGTTTTACAGTCAGACTGAATGCTGCCGGCTGAAATTCAGGCTAATTATGGCCAATCCAGACTCGGAGAAATCAACTCAGGGCCCAGATTTAAAAAAAAAAATAGTTACAAATAGTTAAAAGTCCTTGGCAGCATGAGTGTTAATTATGTGGCAGATGGTCAGCGATTGCTAGCCAGCTACTACATAGAAATATTAAAATATTTATATATCTTACTATGACTGAGGTTTTGTACCCCGATCTGCTATATGACATGTCTGCTTACCAAGTAAACTAGCAACTGTGCTACCATCATTGCCCAGTCACTAGAAAAGACCCCTTCTCCAAGTTATCGGGTGGGGGATATTTACATTTTAAGGGGGGGGGTGGGAAGAACCAAGTGTCCCCTCCCCTGGCCCTCACCCATTCCTCACTCTAATTAGAGTGACATGTCCATCCCATCAAATAATAATATCCCCCCCCCGGGTGGCTTGGGGTCTCAATCCATTATCTATCCACTAAAATGAATTCCCTACCCTGCTCCCTTCACCGAATAATATTGAGAAGCAGGCAAAAAAAACTAAAACCTGTAAAAAAAATGATACCGTAAAAGTCCATTAGTCTTCTTTCTTCTCATTTCTCTGTACTTCAGCCCAAAAATGGCTAAATAAAAATATATAATTCCTAAGATCATTAATTAAAATATAAAAAAGACCTGATAGCAACAACAACAACAAAAATTAGGGTGCAAAAATAAAAACCGCATCGGAACAAAAAATATTAGCAAACCAACCAATCAGAATGCTCTGACAGCCAAGTTTCGAGAGCCGTGAGAGTGTTCTGTCAGAGTACTCTGATTGGTTGGTATACAAGCCAACCAATCAGAGCGCTCCTTGTCATATTACAATGCATGGGAAATGTTCTCTGCTTTGTGATAGCAGTCATCGCGTGGGACACCTCTAAAAGGGCTTTCCCCACTATCAGCGTTTATTCTGCGGTGAGCCCTTCATGGGTGAAGATACATTATTGTTTGTTCCAGCTGTTTTTTAGGGTTTTTTTTGCAACAAGGCCCATTTTATTTGAATTAGTAATGTTGGAAATTATGGATTTTTGGGGACTGTAGAAAAAGAATCAGAAGAAAGAAGACTTCTGATGATATATATAAAAAAAATAATAATTCAGTTTTAGATTTTATTGCCCACTCCTGTGGGGGCGGAGGGGGAGGGACTTTATTTTAGGAGATGGATAGGGAATTGGGGGACAAAGGCCACCCACGGGGGACAAAGGCGTGTCCACCCTGCCTTATAATTAATTATGACCCCACCCGCTAATATGACTCAAATGTTTTAGGGGAAGATGAAGGCTGTGGGTAAAATTACAGGGAAAACATTGAGTACCTCAGGGGACAGATTGTCCAACATAACAATGTCAGCTCCGGCTGCTGCAGCTTCAAATGCTTCCTCCAGAGAGCGACACTCAATTTCCACCTTCAGCGTGTGACCAATGAGAGAGCGCACGCCCGCCACAGCCTGAAAGACATAGTCCAAAGATAAAATTTCTTGAGAAAGCCTAAAAGAGAGAGATAAATAGACTGTCTAAAACAATGAGTGATGTGCTGCTTCCATTCAGACTGTAATATGTTTAAACAGGGAGAAATCTAGACAGAGACATGGACAAAAACAGGGTTTAACCCCTTCATGACCATGGACGTATCTGGTACGTCTGGCAGAAAACATTCCATAATGACCTTGGACGTACCTGCTACGTCCGCAGCTATTTTGAGCTCTGGAAGCTCTGATAGTATTGCAGTGATGCTCTGCATGTGCGGAGTGCCTTGAGGGGTCCTGGCACTCAGTGCATATATAATACTATATATTAAAAAATTAAATAGAAAAGAAATAAAATGATCAATATTAACCCCCATCCCTTTCTAAAGGCAGTGAATCATGGGGCTTCTGGGGGTGTCCCTAGCATGCCGCATCATAAGGGGCAGGCTGGGGTCATCCAATCACAGCTTGCCCCATTAGCAATTTCATCCCAAGTGTGTTCCCCATTTCTCTGATTAGTGTGGATCTGCCTCCCTCTCCTCACTTGTGCTTTAGTGAGAGAAGGAGAGAGATCTGTGGTTTAGCTAGAGAGATTTAGGTGTTTATAGGTAGGGATTTGTAAACTCTTGAGACCCAAAGGCTCTTTTCAGAGCCATTAACCCCTGTCTTGCCAGTGATCACTATAATCACCGGCTTTTGCACAGCAGTAATTGTCTGCTGTTTGTGCATATTTTTTTTCTTTTTTAGGGGTTCATTTTTGTGAATTTTTTTTTTTTTTTGAGACCCAAAAGCTCTTTTCAGAACGATTAACCCCTGTCCTGCCTGTGATCACTCTGCAGATCACAGGCTCTTGCACAGCAGCACTTATTTTGCTGTCTGTTCATTTTTTTTTTAGGGTTTATTTTTTTTTTTTTTTGTGACAGGTCACTAAGTAAAGCGATTGTGATCATGTCACATGGGTCACGGAAGTCAACCAGCGCTGAGCAGTCATATGCCACCCTTGCGCTAGAGTCTGACGCGTCTATGTCAGACTCTGACCCTGATTTTGACCCAGCCAGTTGCTCAGATACATCATCACTAGATACAGTGTCTGCTGCTAGTGATGCATCTAGTGATGTTGTATCTGTGCCTGCTAGTCCCCCTGCCAGAAGGAGACGTGCTGCTACAGCTGGCAGAACTGCTGAGGAGTGGGTAGTGCCTCATCGCCAGAGGCCAGACATCCCATCCTTTACTGCCAGGGCCGGATTAACATAGGGGCTGATGGAGCTGCACCTCCAGGTCCATACCCATGGAATAGGCCCATTTAAAAAAAAAAAAAATTTTTTTTTTTTTTTTACACACTACTCTTAGGTTTGCCACCTGACTGGTATTTTAATGGCACAGACGGTATTTGAGGCTGCCTGGCCGTGCCGGTATTGCAGTAATACCAGCAATACAAATGCATGTAATTTTCTCAGAATAAATGGAAATTACTATGCAATACCAGCACCGGCCAGTAGGGGTCACTGTGTGTGGAGAGAGGCAGGTATAGGAAGTTACAGAATATCCCTGCCTCTCTCTACTACTCACTGATCCGTGGGGGAGCAGCTACACAGCAGAGAGTCCAGACAGCAGCTCTACAGCTCAGGTAAGTGAGGGATGGGGGGAAAGGCAGCAGGGACACATGGGGACACTGAGACACTAGGGGACATATGGGGACACTGAGACACTAGGGGACACATGATGACACATAGGGGACACTAGACACATGACATACACTAGGGGACACTGAGACACTAGGACACAGACACTGGGAGACCTGGGAACACTGAGACACTTGGGGACACTGAAAACATGGGGACACTGAGACACTTGGGGACATATGGGAACACAGACACTAGGGGACACATGGGGACACTGTCACTAGGGGACACTGAGACACTAGGACACATGGGGACACAGACACTGGGAGACCTGGGGACACTGAGACACTAGGGGACACTGTGAGACATGTCTCCCTATATGTCCCAGTGTCCACATGTCTATGTCCACAACTGTCCCCATGTCTCCCAGTGTCCCCAAGTGTCTGTCTCCCAGCCAGTGTCCCCTAGTCTCCCAGTGTCCCCTAGTCTCCCATGTCTGTGTCCCTAGTGTCTTAGTGTCCCCAAATGTTTCAGTGTCCCCATGTCTCCCAGTGTCTGTGTCCCTAGTGTCTCAGTGTCCCCATTTCTCCCAGTTTCCCTAAATGTCTCAGTGTCCCCGGGTCTCTCAGTGTCCCCAGTATCCTAGTGACATGGGGACACACTGAGACATGGAGACACTGGGAGAAATGGGGACACAGACACTGGGAGACTAGGGGACTGGGCGACATGGGGACACTGACATTGTGATACATAGGGACACTGAGACACTGGGTGACTTGCGAGACTGAGACACTGGGAGACAGGGAGACACTGGGAGCAATCCATCTATACAGCAGAATCAAACTGTGTGTAGTTTGTTGGTGATTTTACAGAATTTTCTCTGATGTCACTCCTTGTAATTTACATCATGTGATGTCACGCATAACTAATTAATTATACAAATGATTACGGCTGGTATTTTTTTCCAAGAAAGGTGGCAACCTTAACTACTCTTTGCATACTCTTGCTTAAAGGAACACTAGAGGGTCAGGAACACAATCCTGTATTTCTGACCCTATTATGTTAAAACCACCACTCTGGCCCCGTCTTCCCTCCCTAAATATAGTAAAATATTACTTGTATTCAATTCTGCAGCTGCTGGCTCAGAAGTGGTGGTCTGAGCAAATTACAATACTTCCCCATAGGATTGGCTGAGACTGTCAACTAGGCAGATCAGGGGCAGAGCCAGCACAAGTCCAACATAGCCCTGGCCAATCAGCATCTCCTCATAAAGATAAATTTAATCAATGCATCTCTTTGAGGAAAGTTCAGTGTCTGCATGCAGAGGGTGGAGACACTGAATGACAGTGCTGCACACTAGGCAGTACTGCCCCAGGAAGCACCTCTAGCAGCCATCTAAGGAGCAGCCAGTGGAGTTATTTTCTCTGAAAACACAGTGTTTACTGCAAAAAGCCTGAATGGAATGATTCTACTTACCAGAACAAATACAATAAGCTGTAGTTGTTCTGGTGACTATAGTGTCCCTTTAAGTTTGGGAACTTAAGAGGGATGTATGGGAACAAAACTTGTGTGCACTGGCTAGTTTAGGTAATGCAGATGTTGGTCTCTCTAACACTGTGGCATGTCCCCTTTCTTCTACACTCACTACAGACATCTTTTCTCTGTCTCAGACTATATACCAGGAACTTCTGCCTGCTAGTAAGAAGGTAAGGAGACAAGTGGACCAGCGAGTGCTAGGGGACAGTCCTTTGAAAGAATGGAGTGAGCGCATCATTAGGATTGCAGGATTGGCAGGCAGCCTGACACGCATTCATGCCAGGCTGACCTTCCAATTCTTTGGACAAATGTTCCCCTTTTTGGGCATGTTCACCCCTTTTGGCAGGTCTTGTCACGTGATTCGCGCCAGTGGCACACCCTTTTACCCCGCCCATTAACTTCCTGCTTCACTGGACACTGCTGTTAGGGGGTATGGATTTACTTGAAAGATGAAAGCATAAATTAGAGAGAGATTAGCATAGAGTATGTGTTTTCTCATAGCTGCATCCTATGAGTTTCCCTCCAGCACCATCTCCATCAGATACATGACGCTTGGGAGGTATGATTGTTTTAGTGTTTTTGGTCGATAAGATTCCATAATTAGGCCCATCATAATTGTCAGCACCAGGCCCACTCTGCTTTTAATCCGGCCCTGTTTACTGCAAATCCTGGCATTAATTTGGATGTCACAGGATTTAGCCCTCAGCAGTTTATGGAGGTGTTTCTGGGCGATGATGTATTGGGGAACATTGTCGCCCAAACTAATTTATATGCCCATCAATTCAGAGCTACAAATCCTGACTCTTTTTTGGCAAAGCAGCAATGGGCCCCCATCGATGTGCCAGAATTTAAAAGATTCTGGGCATTGACTATGCTGATGGGCATCATAAAGAAGCCCTCCATCCGCTCCTACTGGAGCAGTAGCCCCATCTGCTCTACCCCCATTTACTCCCAATGTATGTCGAGGAAGAGGTATGAAATGATTCTGCATTTCATGCACTTCAACGACAACAGCCTGTGTCCCTCTAGGGAGCATCCCCAATTTGACAGGCTGTATAAAATCCGCCCCCTGATTACCCACTTCGCTGCCAGGTTTGCAGAGGCTTATACACCTGGAAGGAATATATGCGTGGATGAATCCCTGATGAAGTATAAGGGAAGGCTGGGATTCAAGCAGTATGTTCCTTCCAAGCGCTCTAGGTATGGTGTAAAGATGTATAAGCTCTGTGATAGCGAGAATGGGTATATTCAGGCCTTCCGGGTGTACGAGGGAAAGGATAGCCACCTTGACCCTCCAGGTTGCCCAGAACATATGGGAACCAGTGGCAAGATTGTCTGGGACCTGATTTTCCCCCTCATGAACAAAGGGTACCACTTGTATACTGACAATTTTTATACAAGTGTCCCTTTGTTCAAGCTACTGTACTGTTTTGATACAGTAGCTTGCGGCACAATTAAAAAGAACAGCACAGGTTTCCCAGGACAACTTGCACGCACCCGGCTACGAAGGGGGGAGACCTCAGCTCTGCGCCAAGAGGAGCTGTTGGCAGTTAAGTACAGAGACAAGAAGGATGTGTACCTTCTTACCAGCATCCACACTGAGGGGACTGTGGAGGTCCCTGTACGTGGCAGAGCTGAGAGGACAAGGAAGCCAGTGTGCATCAAGGCCTATAACCGGCACATGGGTGGGGTTGATCTGGCAGATCAGCTGCTGCAGCCCTACCTAATTATACGAAAGACAAGGGCCTGGTACAAAAAGGTTGCAATCTACCTGATGCAGATTGCAACCCACAACGCTTTCTTGTTGTTCAAAAAAGCAAACCCCGGGACGCAACTGAGATTTTTACAGTTTCAGCTCCAGATCATTTCGGGGATTTTGTACCGTGATGCACCTGCTCCCCGGGCGGTGATGGGAGAGAGCAGAGTTGGGGCTACACATTTTATTTTTAAAATCCCCCCTACTGCGGCAAAGCAGAATCCCCAAAAAAGATGCAGGGTCTGTTCTAAGAGGGGGCAGAGAAAAGACAGTATATTACTGTCCTGATTGCCCTGGACAGCCTGGACTCTGCATTGGCGACTGCTTCAAACGCTACCACACGCTGGTCCATTTTTAATTTATTTTTTAACATTTGCCGTTCAGAGTTTTTTTTTTTTGGGGGGAGGGGAGGTTCTTACATTTACCCCGTGCATGGGGGGCATGGGTGTCCTAAGGAGAAGCCTTGCAGAAAACCCCCTGGGGTGTGTTCTTGCAATAACCAACAGCGGGCTCTCCTAAATCACAGTCAAAAAGCAGTGTGTGTGTGTGTGTGTGAAAATGAGGATTGAACAGTTACCTCCACACGCGTTCTTCAACTGTTTTATTTTATTTATTTATTTTTGGTCTGGCTATAAAAAAAGAAAAAAAGGTTGCATCAAAGCACTCCACATGCAATACCTTGGGGTGTCTACGTTTCAAAGTGTGTATCCTTTCGTGGCGATCTATAAAACTGGGCTCTGTGATAAGCCCCAAGCTAAAGATAGGCCTATCAGAAGAACTACTCTCAATTTCAACTCAAACTGAAAAGTCATACAATTGTAACCATACCTTCCCAAAATCCTGGCGAGCCTATGCGTGGGGGGCATGGGTGTCCTAAGGAGAAGCCTTGCAGAAAACCCCCTGGGGTGTGTTCTTGCAATAACCAACAGCGGGCTCTCCTAAATCACAGTCAAAAAGCAGTGTGTGTGTGTGTGTGTGTGTGAAAATGAGGATTGAACAGTTACCTCCACACGCGTTCAACTACTGCAGGATGTCAACTTTTCAAATACATGCACGCTCATGTCAAGAAAATACATTGGGATATCTGATAAGTCCCCCATAAGGAAGATTGGCAAACAAGATATGTACAATTTGAAAAACAGATAGACATTTTGCTTTGCACCCCCCAGTGAACCCAACAAACATATGCATGGGTGGTATCGCTGTACCCGGGAGATGTTGCCGAGCACATATTGGGGTGTCCTTTGGCAGGAACACCTAACAGGAGGTTAGAATTTATGCTCAAAGTAGAATGTGTGAGTGAAAAAGGACCGACCGCACGCTTGATTTCATGCCTAAAACAGTTCCAGAGAATTTGGCTATGCGGCTGGTCTATTTGGCTGGTCTATTTCCCATGTTAAGTTCAGTTCAAATAGACGAACGGCAACTGTTCGTGCAAACCGTCAATGTTAAAGTGCCATTCGAATTGCCGAACGGCGTTTGACCCCAGTTGAAGGGTGAAAGTCCAGAGAAGGTACGGTTTCAGCGGTGTTCATGCCGTCGCATGTCCGATTTGAGTTCCATGAACTCGACGACAAAACACAGCTGAACTTGTTCAACTGAACTAAAATGGCCACCGCCACATGTTCGTTTGGCGAATGGCGGCCACTTCGGCACTTTGGCTGTATCCGAAGTCCCACTTCAAAGTTGTAGAACTGCTCCGATATAATTTAAAGGGGCAGAAAGAGTATTTTAGAATCCAATAAGCCCAAATAGAGCTTTTAAAGGGCAATACATCGCAGGGGCAATAGTCACAGGGCAAGAGGCTGGCAAGCAGGCCTCTCCAAGTTCAAGTGACGAGGTTACTTTTGCCACACATATTATTGGTGAGGACGCGGACAACCTCCAGAGTATGGAGCACCTCGGCCCTAATGCTATTATTTTCTCTACTGGTTATATTGATAAGAAAAGTCCCATACAGTGAATATTGATTTATACAATTTGTCAGACAGACTGACCTACTTCTGGCCAATGGACCTTAAAGCTCAGTTTTTGGGTGATGCTCTGGTGCGAAGCCACAATTGTGAACAAGAGTGGTGACTCTATGCTTACCTCAGTGATTCCACCCATTGCCCATATGTGATTGTCCTTTAGCATGAGCAGGTCACCAGTTCCATATCGATGAGTCCCAGCTCCACCCACCAGCAAGGCATACTTCTCAGGCAGACGGAAGCCAGGTGTAGTCTTCCTGGTCCCTGTTACTTGTCCAGACCATCCCGCACCTTTTGCACTCTGTGTCACTTTCCTGGCCAGGGTGGCTACTCCACTCACACGAGATAAAACATTGAGAGCTGGCCGCTCAGCTAAGAGAATGTCATTGATCCGACCTGGGAAAAAGAGAAGTAGAAGACATTTATTCACAGTGACTGATCTAGTGGAAAAGGCAGCACGACAAATGCCCTCCTTGGGAATCCAGGTGTATTTATGTCAGTAGGCAGAGTCAAACACCTAACATTATAGCATGCACACAGAGAAAACTGATTATCTTCATAGCATTTAAATAGTCAGGTACCAAAAAAAAAAATACAAAAATTGAATTCTTGAAAATTATATTGTCTCATGGGATAAATATTCCCGGGACCATTATGGGAACCTTCACATGTCTTTATGAAGAAAGACAACCAATTCTTCTCTCCCAAAAAATAGGTCATTAAGCTCGTAACCTGCAATTTGTGTAAGTTCATTACATTAGGCAAACAAAACAAACTAAAACAAGTAAATAATAATGAATCACAGAGAACAATATGTCTGACATTTTGTGGAACGCAGAGGACGACACGTATCAGATTTTCAGTGGGAAGAAGACGCCAGGGGTCTGTATTTTTATTTTGCAATAATATTTTAATTCAATACACTGATAATACTACCTTCATATTAGGCTACTTAATACCAATTTGGATGATAACAGGAGATCAGTGCATGAAAAATAAGCCACAAACAACCCAGAACTAACTAATATTCACCAGGGCCACAAACTAACCAGAACTAACTAATATTCACCAGGGCCACAAACAAGCCAGAACTAACTAATATTCACCAGGGCCACAAACAAGCCAGAACTAACTAATATTCACCAGGGCCACAAACTTACCAGAACTAACTAATATTCACCAGGGCCACAAACAAGCCAGAACTAACCTAGTATTCATCAGGGTCAAACTGGGCAGGAACACACTCATTATTCTGCAGGGACACAACCAAAGCAGGACTAACCCTGTATTAACTGGGGTGATAACTGAACCAGGACAAACTTAGTATTAACCAAGGCCACAACCAAACCAGGACTAACCAAGTATTAACCAATGCCACAAACGTACTGGAACTTACCCAGTATTAACCAGGCCACAACCGAAAAGGGACTAAGCCAGTATTAAATGGGTCACAACTAGAGTTGAGCGAACCCAAACTGAAAAGTTCGGGTTCGTACCGAACTTTAAGTTTTTTGGACCCCTCATCCGAACACGGACATATCACTGTATGTTCAGGTCGGAGTTCGGCGATTTAATGACACGTTTTGAAAGGCTGCAGGGCAGCCAATCAACAAGCGTTTGACTCATGTGCCCTTAGAAGCCATCACAGTCATGCCTACTAATGGCATGGCTGTGATTGGCCAGTGCAGCTTGTGACCCAGCCTCTATAGAAGCTGGTCACTTAGTATTAGTAAATTATGCCCCTACTCGCTACACCGCGAGTAGGGGCGTGTCTTTCAAACTGGCTTGATAAGAAAAGTCCCATACATTTACTTAAACCACCAATCAGAGTGCTCTGTGTCATTTTACACAGCGTGGGAAAATTCCAAAGAACTTTCCCACGCTGTGTAAAATGACACAGAGCACTCTGATCGGGTCCCCATTGACCGAGCCCGAACAGAGACTTTTTTTCAAAGTTCAACCGAACCCACAGGACCCGAACATCCAGGTGTCCGCTCAACTCTAGTCACAACCGAACTAGGTCTAACCCAGTATTAACCAAAGTCACAACCAAATCGGGACTTATCCAGCATTAACCAAGGCTACAACCGAACCAGGACTAACCCAGTATTAACCGGAACCAGAACCAAATCAGGAATAACCCAGTATTAACCAGGGGCCACAGCCAACCCAGGAATAACTCAGTATTAATCAAGGTCAAATCCAAACTAGGACTAACCAAGTATTAATCAAGGCCACAACCAAACCAGGTCTAACCCAGTATTCACCAGTGCCTGAGACACACTGGTACCAACTCAGTGTTTTCATTTATTAGACAAAAAACAGGAGCAAAGATGCTACTGGTCTCAGTGCAAACGAAGCCCTGAGATCAGGTACATCACCTGGATATATATATAGCAATGTAGAATCAGGGTAATAATGTACTGGCTAATATATCGAATAATAATATCTAAATAGTGAGACCATAAAGTAAGTGAAAAATAAAGTATATACAAGTGTAATTAATGCAACTGTGCAACCTGGATATGAGCCAGGTAAGGGTAACTCACATATATGTATAGGGATGTGCTCCAAGGTACTAAAAGATATATATTTATTGAAAAACTGACTTAAAAGAGAAAAATCAATCCCAATGTATTACCCCTATCCCTGGTGTATCAAGGACACTCCTCTTAGTGACACTGTACCCTATAAGCTGGAATCTCAGAATCTGTACTCACAGGTTGAACAAAATATATAGTTTGAGGAATCCAAAATATCTCTGTAGTAGTTATAGTATGGTTACAGTGGATGACTCAGTCAGTCTGTAGCTAGTGATGATTACAGCAAAATAATCTAAATAGGTCTAGAAAGGGTTACAGTGCTAGATTTCAGAGGAGAAATACTGTCAGACAGCAAGTGTGGAGAGAAGGTTATTTTAGATCAATAAGTCAGTTTCAAATAAACTGACAGTAGAATTTTATAAAGCCTTTCTCCCTGGTAATCTAGCTAGACAGGCATAGAAGCAGAAAGATTAGATAGTGAATATCAAAATCATGTTTAAAGTAGGAGAGTGATTAAATCAACCAATGCCCAGTGCCCATAATACAAAATAAAAAGGAAAAAAGCCTGACGCGCGTTTCGGTGCTCTGTATAATGCACCTTTGTCGACACGCGTTTTGGTGCTCTGTATAATGCACCTTTGTCGACGTGCATTTCGGTGCTCTGTATAATGCACCTTTGTCGACGCGCGTTTCAGTGCTCTGTATAATGCACCTTTGTCGACGCGCGTTTTGGTGCTCTGTATAAGGCACCTTTGTAGACGCGCGTTTCGGTGCTCTGTATAAGGCACCTTTGTCGACGCGCATTTCAGTGCTCTGTATAATGCACCTTTGTCGACGCGCGTTTCAGTGCCCCGTCTCAAATCCAGATTCTGAAGCACCTCCCTCTTTGAGAGGTGGGCGGGTCTACCTGCTGTTTCAATAGAGTGAATCTGAAGTGGGGGGATACCAGATTGAAAGGGGCTGTCTGTGCAGAGCCTGATAGCTTCTGCAGGAGTAACTGAAGTCACACAGCACCAGCCAATCAGCTCGAAGTGGGCGTGTCCAAAACGGACCTGACAGGCAGTCTTATGTATCTCCAATCCCATCAAATGAAAGCAGCCGATCTACATCTACATATTATTATTATTATTGCCATTTATATAGCGCCAACAGATTCCGTAGCGCTTATATCCTACTCTGTCCCTTTTCATTTCTTACCATAGCCTTCTGACAAAATAATTACAAGAAAAGACATGTAATATGTAATATAGCTCACCCCTGACAGTTGCCACCTGTGTAACAGGCTCTAGCCATTCCCCTTCTTTGTGTTTCCAACTCACAGAGCACCCAGCTTCTTCACAAACTGCTTGAAAGAATGGGCTTCCCGCTAACACCCCAGCGGATTTACACAGTAACACTGCCTCTTCCTGTAATTCACTTCTTCCATGAGAAGCTGCCCACCCAGCCACATCCAGCCATGGAGCATCTTCCGCCAGCCAATCACGGGCCAGCTGCTGGAGGCGAGGGAGGGGTAGGAGAAGAACAAGATCCTCAGAGGCCATCCTAAGCCACTACAAAAATAGAGTTAAAACACTAACTTTATACACACTATTCACATTTAGACATCGTGCACCAAACCCTATAGAGTCAGAGATGAAACTCCCAGCACACACCTCTTCCACAGCACCTAAACTCTCCCCCAGAGGTCTTCCACAGCACTCAACCTCCCACAGCATCCAAACTCCCCCACACCTCTTCCACAGCACCCAGACTCACCCACATCTCTTCCACATCACCCACCCCTCATACCTCTTCCACAGCACCCAAACTCACCCACATCTCTTCCACAGCACCCAGACTCATCCACATCTCTTCCACAGCAACCAAACTCACCCACATCTCTTCCACATCACCCACCCCTCATACCTCTTCCACAGCACCCAAACTCATCCACATCTCTTCCACAGCAACCAAACTCACCCACATCTCTTCCACAGCACCCAGACTCACCCACATCTCTTCCACATCACCCACCCCTCATACCTCTTCCACAGCACCCAAACTCATCCACATCTCTTCCACAGCACCCAGACTCACCCACATCACCCACCCCTCATACCTCTTCCACAGCAACCAAACTCACCCACATCTCTTCCACAGCACCCAGACTCACCCACATCTCTTCCACATCACCCACCCCTCATACCTCTTCCACAGCACCCAAACTCCCCTACACCTCTTCCACAGCAACCAAACTCACCCACTTCTCTTCCACAGCACCCAAACTCACCCACATCTCTTCCACAGCACCCAAACTCCCCCACACCTCTTCCACAGCAACCAAACTCACCCACATCTCTTCCACAGCACCCAAACTCACCCACATCTCTTCCACAGCAACCAAACTCACCCACATCTCTTCCACAGCACCCAGACTCACCCACATCTCTTCCACATCACCCACCCCTCATACCTCTTCCACAGCAACCAAACTCACCCACATCTCTTCCACAGCACCCAGACTCACCCACATATCATCCACATCATCCACCCCTCATACCTCTTCCACAGTACCCAGACTCACCCACATCTCTTCCACAGCAACCAAACTCCCCCACACCTCTTCCACAGCAACCAAACTCCCCCACACCTCTACCACAGCACCCAAACTCACCCCCACCTCTTCCACAGCACCCAGACTCACCCACACCTCTTCCACAGCACCCAGACTCACCCACATCTCTTACACAGCACCCAAACTCCCCCACACCTCTTCCACAGCACCCAGACTGACCCACATCTCTTACACAGCAACCAAACTCCCCCACACCTCTTCCACAGCACCCAGACTCACCCACATCTCTTACTCAGCAACCAAACTCCCCCACACCTCTTCCACAGCACCCAGACTCACCCACACCTCTTCTACAACACCCAGATTCACCCACATCTCTTACACAGCACCCATACTCACCCACATCTCTTACACAGCACCCAAACTCCCCCACACCTCTTCCATAGCACCCAGACTCACCCATATCTCTTCCACAGCACCCAGACTCACCCACATCTCTTCCACAGCATCCAATATCCTCACATTCCTCTTTCACAGCACCAACCCCACCCACCCTCCTTCCAAAGCTCCCAATCTACCTCCAGACCTCTTCCAAAGCACCTAAACCCCCACACCTCTTCCACAGCACCCGCCCATCACCTCTTCCCAAGGTCCCAAATTCCCTCCACTCCTCTTCCACAGCACCCACCCCCACACCTCTTCCACAGTACCCAAACTAATTTAACCTTTTCCATAGCACCCAACCTCCCCCACACCTTTAACACAGCACCCAACCCCCGACCAACAATTCTTCCACAGCATCCAAAACTCTCCCCCACCTCTTCCACAACACCCACCTCACACACACTTCTTCCACAGCATCCAACATCCACACATCTTCCACAGCACTCTACCCTTCCACACCTCTTCCACAACACTCAAATTCCTCCACTCCTCTTACACAGGATCCCCACACCTTTTTCAGAGCACCAAACCACCCACTCCTCTTACACAGCACCCAAACTCCCCCACATGTCTTCCACAGCACACAAACTCCCCCACACGTCTTCCACAGCACCCAAACTCCCCCGCACCTCTTCCACAGCACCCAACCCCCCACATTTCTTCCACAGCACCCAAACTCCCCCACACGTCTTCCACAGCACCCAACCCCCCCACACGTCTTCCACAGCACCCAACCCACCACACGTCTTCCACAGCACCCAACCACCCCACGTCTTCCACAGCCAGCCCCCCCCACATGTCTTCCACAGCACCCACCCCCCCCCACACATCTTCCACAGCACTTAACCCCGCCACACCTCTACAACAGGACCAAACCCCCACATCCCCAATATCTGCACCATCAGCTCACTTTTTACACAAATAGAGTTATTTACTAATGTGTGAATCGGTGGGAATTCAAAGTGAATTTTAGGCCCACATAACAAGATGTAAACAGTTTAGTTGGAGAATGTTTCAAATTAATCTATTTTGGTCTAAATTAACTTTAAAGTCCCAACAATTATCCTGTGTTTCTCTTACCTGTGAGGTGAATTACTGAACCTTTACAGCAAATACTAAACCTGAACAACAAATGGCAGCCATTTATATACAAACTGGGCGAGTGTTATCAGAAAGCAAACAGATAGCTACATATTCACTTGTGTAAAGATCAACTCATGGTGGGGGCAAAGCTCACCTGGGAGTGGGGGATTTCACTTGTGGGGGCAGAGCTCAACTGGGAGGACAGCGGTCACCTGAGAGGGGGGTGCAGAGCTTATCTACGGGGTGGGGGGATTGAAATCACCTGGGGGGTTTAATACCATTAAATAACAACCCATGGCCACGGCTCCCCATTTATAATACCATTATATAACCGTCCACGGCTCTCCATATATTATACCATTATATAACCGTCCACGGCTCTCCATATATTATACCATTATATAACCGTCCACGGCTCTCCATATATTATACCATTATATAACCGTCCACGGCTCTCCATATATTATACTATTATATAACCGTCCACGGCTCTCCATATATTATACCATTATATAATTGTCCACGGCTCTCCATATATTATAACATTATATAACTGTCCACTGCTCTCCATATATTATACCATTATATAACTGTCCACGGCTCTCCATATATTATAACATTATATATTTTTCCACGGCTCTCCATATATTATACCATTATATAACCGTCCACGGCTCTCCATATATTATACCATTATATAACCGTCCACGGCTCTCCATATATTATACCATTATATAATTGTCCACGGCTCTCCATATATTATAACATTATATAATTGTCCACGGCTCTCCATATATTATATCATTATATAACTGTCCACGGCTCTCCATATATTATAACATTATATAACCGTCCACGGCTCTCCATATATTATACCATTATATAACCGTCCACGGCTCTCCATATATTATACCATTATATAATTGTCCACGGCTCTCCATATATTATAACATTATATAATTGTCCACGGCTCTCCATATATTATATCATTATATAACTGTCCACGGCTCTCCATATATTATAACATTATATAACCGTCCACGGCTCTCCATATATTATACCATTATATAACCGTCCACGGCTCTCCATATATTATACCATTATATAATTGTCCACGGCTCTCCATATATTATAACATTATATATTTGTCCACGGCTCTCCATATATTATACCATTATATAACTGTCCACGGCTCTCCATATATTATAACATTATATAACCGTCCACGGCTCTCCATATATTATACCATTATATAACCGTCCACGGCTCTCCATATATTATACCATTATATAACCGTCCACGGCTCTCCATATATTATACCATTATATAACCGTCCACGGCTCTCCATATATTATACCATTATATAACCGTCCACGGCTCTCCATATATTATACTATTATATAACCGTCCACGGCTCTCCATATATTATACCATTATATAATTGTCCACGGCTCTCCATATATTATAACATTATATAATTGTCCACTGCTTTCCATATATTATACCATTATATAACTGTCCACGGCTCTCCATATATTATAACATTATATAATTTTCCACGGCTCTCCATATATTATACCATTATATAACCGTCCACGGCTCTCCATATATTATACCATTATATAACCGTCCACGGCTCTCC